CTTTTGTTGAATTGAACACAAAACACAGATTTCTTTTGCTACTCTGGGGCACGTTAGCTGTTGAAATCATGGTTTTAAAAATTCTACCTTCAGCCAATCATATCTCTAAAAATAAGATTTGTTCACTTTTTCAGAGTCGGAAACTTTTCTAAAGTTTGACAGGATGTTTCTAGTAAATGGCTTGTCCAGATTGTAAAGGAAGAATCCTGATTCAAGCCTTACTGTAAGAAGTGTTGAGGTACTCAAAATCGGTCTCGAGACCACTTTTTGAAGGTCTCTGTCTCGTCTTTTGACTCGATCTTGTCTCGGCCTCAGACTGAGCGGACTCCGGATTTCATCACTGAAAGGCTATTTTTCCAAGGCATTTCTGTGATTAGAAGGAAAAGCCCCCTTTCTAAAAGAACAAATAACTTCAATTTATTCATAATTTCCCAAGTTATGGTCGCAACCTTTCTTGGTGTTACGTTCTAAGTGAGTCACTCACCCATTGCACACAAGATGAGGATTTTTCTGTAATATTTATGGTCTGGTCTTTACTCGGTCTCGGTGAACTCTGGTCTTGGGTAAGTCTTGGTCTTGACTACAACACTAACTGTTAGTCTACGGGAAAAGTGCTTAGAACTTTTGTACTTTAGATTTTGAATCAGTTGTGAGGAGCTAAAAATAAATAATTTAAAATCTTTTAAATGCTTTTTGTTTTCATTCTTTTTGGAGATGTCTTTTGCCAGTCTAACTCTCTTCAATTATAATTTTTCATCACAAATTCAAACAAACTGATAAGGTACAATAAAAAGGTGAATGCCCTTTATCACCGGAAAGACAAATGAGGCTGTAACTGTGCCGGCTTAAAGCACCAGCAGCACAAATTCACTAAACCTCTTTATCAATTCTGTTAAAGTAGGAATGAAAAATCCCTATGAACATTAAAACTCTGCAGCCAAAACCAAACATTTGAATCCATCTGTCCCTTTCATACGGTTACAAAATAATCCCAGTACGAGTACTGTGTCACACCTGTTACATTTCTTTATCTTTAATCTCATTATTTTAAACTGACGACGGGGTAAAACTGGGCCTATTGTTTGGTTCTTTTTGAGAAGAACTGGTTTGAATGTTTTTGTTATTATTGAGCAGAGCAGCGTACAGTATGTCTTTAACTGTTGTTCTCTTTGAAGGTGATTTTCAAATAAAAGGTTCAACACTGAAGGGGGACACATTTCAGGTGTATGGCTGATAGTGAGGTATGTTTCAAAACATGTATTTAATAACAGAGTTACAACACACAACTTTAACTTTTCAGTCTTGCAACAGGCTGTGCTTTTTGAATTACATATTCATTTGTATCAAAACACTGGGCTGTCCGCTCTTACAATTAGAAGAGACCAGCACATTTATTTATTTATTTATAAAGCCCTTTCAGATAAACGTCCTCTGTATCTTTCATCTTTGTTTTAACAAGGGTAGCCATATTACTTGCTCAGTCATGGCTCACCCTGCAGGTTCCTAGAATCCACGCAGAGCTAGGAAGGTCTGTTTTTAGTTACTACGCACCAAACACTTTAAGATAACCACATTGATAACATGGAGACAATTCCCCGTATTAATTTCTGATCTTAATGATTTGAACCGTTTTTGCTTTGAATATTTTACTTGTTTTGTTTGCTGTTATAACACCTGATCCTTCATTTTATTTGTATCTTGCCTCTTTTCTATTGTTGTCTGTTCCTCAGCAACATTGCAAATGAGGGTTCTCCCTCAATGTGTATTTTTTTTTAGGTTTATCAGATCTTAAAAATACTTTGTACTGTTCCTTTAAATCCTGTAAAGACATATTCAACTAGCTCAGCTGCTGACATTTCAAAGTCAAGGTGATTTGATTCATGAGCTACCACAGAACAAACTGAATTTCAGAACTTGTACACACACACAAAATCCAAGTTCAGACATACCTATTACATACGATCAAGTTAATTTCCCTACCTTAAGCCACACTTCCTGTTCAAAGTCCCAGTTTGGAGTGATTGTGTTCCTTATATCAAGTCTCGAAGTTGCAGTGGAGCACAATAATGAGGCAGTGACAGAATGGAGTTTAACTGGCTCGACCAGACGCCGTGTACAGCAAGAGGCATGACAAAAGCTGCACGCCATGACGAGGGCTTTGTGAAGACTGAGAATCTGAGTTGAGATAATTGCTAAGTAGGTTTGAGCAAACAGTGCATTTCTTGAAGTGATTGGTGCTTAAACCTAAAAATAGTCAGATGATTATAAAGGTAAGGGAAGAATGTTCCCGGTTTACCTTAACTGGCCCAGCTCATTCAAAATGCTGTTTTTACTGCAGTTTGTGCCCGACACCTGAAGTCACTCATGTTCAAAAACACACAAAAAGTCAAACCACAACTTCAAGTCTGGGATTTTATTTATTCAAAGATGAAAATGTACTATTCTGAGGAATGATGGAACAATGGTGTTTATAGCAAAACTGTGGTCCGCTCTTCCAAAAAGTGCTCACGGTCTTTACAAGTAGTAACATGATCAATAGAAGTCTCATTATGGTCAAATGTCTAGTAAGTTTAGCACAATATCTCCACACTCATTTTAGCTTCAATCACTTCCTATGATTGGTCAGAAAACAAAGAGTCCTCCCAAAGAGAAAAGAGGAGTACTTTCAGGAGGACGGTCCCTGGAGTTTGGTCGCATGAGGAGAGTGAAGGCCTTCTGGATCTCTGGACCTCCTCTCAGGTAAAAAAAAAAAGGCATCCTCCTGAATACTTGCTCTTCCTGTAAATACCACCAGAGAGGCCAATCCTGTCCTTTATTTGCCGTTTTTCACGTTGAGCATTTTCTCCTGGAGTTACAAAACAAAAACAAGAAAAGTCAGCATATAAAAATCAGAAAATCTCACCTTCATTAATCAAAACAAAACAGTGTGACATTAGTATGAACCAGGGATGGGTACGAGTACTCGAGTCGCCGTTGATCCCATTATTCGAGTAACATTTCGTTACTCGCGCACCTGTGCAAGCGCTGCTTTTGGCTACAAAACTTGAACTCATACAGCTTTACATGTGTGACCCAGCTTTTTGTTTCCGCTAACTGAATATACTAGGTAGGAAAATAATTAACGGGATACAAATGTATGACTTCTCCGGCCACGGCTTCAGTACACACAGAGCCAGATTTCAGCAAAAACAACTGTTTTACAGCAGCTACGGCAACTCTCTAGGAACATATTACACCAAAAGCAAAAGCACAACAAAAACTGAACCGTCTGCTACACCTGCGACATGTCAGTCAAGAAAAGTGATGTCTGGAAGTACTTTGACAAGAACGATGAAGTTAATGTGCAGTGCAAGATATGTGGCGTTAAACTTGCATACCATAGGAATACTAGTTCGATGCTTAATGCATAAGGAGAAAACAGCGGGGACAGAAAACAGGCAGTCTCGCATCCCGTCATTTGCTAGCCCTGTTAGCACACGTCGTTGTTAGCGACGTCGTTGAAATTGAAATCGCTTTCTGTTGGTTATTTATTCATGTTTAAATATTGGATGTTCATGTCATTTTACAGGCATTAAGTCTACAATTCCGGTCTGGGAGGTCCGTGTCCGATGGACCCTTTTTTGTTTATGGTTAAAAAACTAATAATAATAATAATCTGTGGGTACTCGTTCATTAGGTAATTCGAGTAATCGAGTACAGGGATTACTGTAAATTCCCATCCCTAGTATGAACACACATTTGCCAGAAAAACAAAAGTTAATTATGAAAACTCTTTTACTGGGGCGCCTAGTGGTTTGTGTCCCTCCCCCCTCAAAGTGGGCGGCCCAGGTTTCAATCAACCTGTGGCTCCTTTTCTGCATGTCATTCCCCTCTCTCTCTCCTTCCCTGATTTCTGACTCCATCCATGGTCCTGTCTCGAAATAAAATGCCCAAATGTAAACTTTCAAAACAAACTCTTACTTTGATCATGGTCTCCAGCTTGATGGCGTCAGCAGCAAACTTGCGGATCCCGTCAGACAGTTTCTCCACAGCCATGCGGTCCTCGTTGTGCTCCCAGCGGAAAGCCTTCTCATCCATGTGGACCTTCTTCAGATCGCACACCTTAGCTGCACAAGGGTGAGGTAGAAATAAATGCATGAGGCTTTAAGTTGACAGGTTTTTACATGTATAAAATAAGTTTTCAAAACAGCATGTCTGCTTCTGTATTTCCCACAACATTTTGTACATAAGTGAAAACTTATTAGTCAGACCTAAACTAAAAAAAAAAAATCCTTTTCAAAACAGATGTGTTCATAAAGTCAGTGCTAAAGGTCAGAGAAGTACAACTATTATGAATGTTAAAATCACCTGAAATAACAACTTTGTCATACCTGGACATAAAATACGATAAAAAGTTGGGGCAGTCTACAGATAATTAAAATCAAAACTGGGGCTTTAGAGTGCTCAATAAAACCAAGGTGTTGAAAAGATGAGACGGTGTTGTGTACAATGGGTGTGCATTTAAAGTGTTTTTTGTAAATAACAGCAACTAGAGGTGCAAACCTTAAATTAAATAATAATCGGTTACAAAACAAATGTAATCGATAATCGTTTTGTAGTCCATATTTTTGTAAATGTTTCTTGTTGCATTGTGGGTTCTAAGATCGGCCTAATTCAAAACAGAAAAAAAGGAGCACACTCAAACAGAAATAAAACTTCCAAGTACACGAGCGCAAAATGAAAGAAGATGACAAAGCGCTGATAAAGGGTCTGTGCTGAAATGCATCCGTTGTTGATCTGTACCCTGCTACCCTTACAAAAATATCCCTTTAATTAACCCCTTTATGAATTCACAATGAACAAAAAGTCCCAAACAAACGAAATATGCATTATGATCTACGAAAGTTCAGTTCAAATTGTCTTTTTAGTCCACAGAAAAAGAAGGACTTTCACTTTGCGATTACCGCTTTACCCCCCCAAACCAAAGACATTTGATCATCCAGGACAGAGCAGCATAACTAGATGTTTTCCTATATTTTGGAATTTTAGATGATTATTCTTTTAATAACTACAAAACAGAACAACCTTAAAGGGAGAAATAGCTCATAGCGGACGGACGAGCGAGATTGAGCGAGTGTGTCATTACGCACAGAGGAGAAAGATGAAACAGTTCACCTGTTCTATTGTAACTTCATTTACCAGAGTAAAGTGTGCTCTACACTGCAGACTGTAGTCTTTGTTAACACAATGTTGCTGTCAAAACAGCTTCAAAGTGCGATGAGTGCACACTGATGTCTGCACATCTGCTCACCACACTCACTACTCTAATTATAATAAAGTGTTAAAACGGTCAGAAGATATAAATTTTTATTTGATGTTTGCTGTCTGTTGAAGTAAGAAATGTCCTAATTTGAACAATTATACAAAGTAGGCCTGTTACTAACAATTATTAAAATCTCTAAGATTCAATTAATCAATAGATACAGTCGGCATCGCTTCATAGTTGGCCTCCCGTGGGGGAAAAGAATCACAGAAAAAAAGAGAACTACGAAATGATTACTGGAGTACTAACTTCAACAATGGGAAGAGTAATCGATTAAAGAAAATTTTGCATTTCTGCACCCCTAACAGCACATTTAATCCTTCTCAGTCAGCTCAGATGTCATCTGTGTGGTGTCATTGGTTCCGATCCGATGTGAACAATCACATGGACAGTTGAGGAAGGGAGTGAGCAGAACAGCCCGAGGGGTTTGTAAATTAAAACTGTTATGTAAATATCAAAAGTACAACTTGTTGTCTCTATGCTTTAGGTCTCTATTGTTTGCACATACAGTACATGATTTGAATTCCATCTCACTGCCTTATACAATATTCAAATTTACCCTTATTATCTTTATGTTTTTTTCTCCCCCGGCCAGTGAAGAGTGATGTCAACAAACACCAAGAGCCCCTTCAGAACTCAGGAGTGCGATGAGACATTTTAATAGCTGGTGTCAGTGAAGAATTGTTTGCGGCAACAAAAGCTTCAGAGCAGCTGGTTCCCACAGAGACACCCTTTGTTTCACAGGATTGTACCTTTTTCCCCGTTGAGCATCTGTGTGACGACGCTGTGGTCCTCGCTGAGCTCTGCCAGCAGCCCAGGAGAGATGGTGAGCAGATCACAGCCTGCCAGGGCCTTCACCTGACCCGTGTTTCTGAAGGAGGCGCCCATCACCACTGTGCTGTAACCAAACTTCTTATAGTAGTTGTAAATCTTTGTCACACTCAGCACACCTAGGGAGGGAGAGGAAAATATTATTTAGAATTGTGAGAATCAGTGTCGAACATTTTTCAGGCTATTCATAGCTTTCACCTGACGTCACACTTATGGAACCGCCAACCCGGCCGGCAAGACGAGCTCTCTACCACACTGTATGATATGAGATGTTACTTGTCTCAGTTGTTTACTATGTGTTGACTGATGAGGAGACGAGCCCGGGTTTTGCTTCTACAGAATTAAATCTGAGAAAGCAAACCCAGAGAGGAGAACGTTTGTGGATTAATGCAGGTAGACCCTCTGCCGCCCCTGTGAGGGGAAAAAAAAAAAAAAAAGACTTCTCCTCATCCTGACATTAAAGATAGTGTTGAATAAATCTAAATATTCCTGCCATTAACTCAAAATACTGCCTCAGAACAATGAAATTGATAGCCGACAGTCATCCTGATACTATCGTTAACTAACGCTAACTAGATAATGTTAGCAAATCCCCGATGCTTGAATGATGGCGCATTTCTTGCCCTTCACTTCTCAAACAGCATCATTATCGACCCAGACACATCAAAAATACATAAAGCTGCATGTACGCTCATAGACTTTTATCCTACGTCGATGTAAGGAGAGGGGTTCTCTATATATCAGAGTGAAATATTGATCCTGAAGGTTAAAGACTTCTGTGTACGTTCGTAAAGTCACTCGGTTTCCTTCAACTCCCTCTAGTGAACTAACAAGTGAACCACTCTTTTCTTTTGTTTTTTTAATACAAGCCATATTCAAGCAGAGACAGTCATATTTACTGAACAGAACAGTCATACAACCTCACTAAACATCTTCGGTTTCCACTGTGTTTTTTTTTGTTTTCTTCTGAATTTTATCTTCTTTCATTTGAAATGAATTTAATCTGAGGGGGCCCATTTTTGTAAAACACGAGAAGGAAGAGCCTCAGAAAAGGTGAGGGGTGAAAGAGGATTTGTTTTTGTGTATTTCAAGGGCCTGGGGGCTGCTATAAAAAAAAAAAAAAAATAGGGCAAACACCAGGTGCAAACGGGGCTATTTGTCACATGAACAAGCTTTAATGACATAAAGGAACACGTTAATACCTGGGTCTTCGTGTGGCTCGTAGCTTTTGCGGTCCGTATTGTCTTTGTACCAGTCGAAGATGCGTCCAACGAAGGGCGATATGAGGGTGACCTTTGCTTCAGCACAGGCCACGGCCTGAGCAAAGGAGAACAGCAGGGTCATGTTGCAGTGAACACCGTGCTTCTCCTCCAGCTCCCTGTACAGAAATACATTTCAATATTTACTTAGAACACATCACAAACTGTATCCTGTCTGTACATTCATTTTCCATTTCATCCAAAGTTTCCTCTAGATGAGAAACAAGCCCCACTAAACCAGAATGAGTTCTTTCAGTCTTACTGGTTTATTAAAACTTCTGTTTTACTTGAATATGTGGAATCAAATTGAGCCAGCCCAGCTACAGATACTACAGACTGCATCTGAGTGAATGTTTTCTTGTAAAAGCTAACTCAAGAACTACTTTGACATAAACACTTGTTATCAAGTAGTGACACATTTCCTGAGAAGTCTATGTATTATAAGACTCAGAATGCAGAGCAACAGGAGACTTATCTATCAAGTGTCTCTGGGTGCAAACATTATCAATCATCTGTCATTTTTTTTTTAAATATCCAACACCTTAAAGCAGCCGTTTTACTTTGTGAACTTCCTCTCAAGGGGGTTGACTGTGTTCACGCACAATGACAGGAATTATATTAGAAATAAGTACAAAAAAATGACAACTAAGCATAAACCATGTATTTACATACTAGCATGTAAATATAATAAATGCAGAAAAATTAATAATAATACAATTAAAACAGATATTATGGCCCAAAGCAGAAGTAAGCAAGTTGAAGCCCTTTCTATGCTGCAAACAGCAATGTGCAAGTTTTAAGCCTGAACAAGTTGAAAAACGTCCCTTTCAACCGGTTTCACACACCCATCCACTAACTGAACGTGGTGTGTGTGTGTCTGTGTGTCATGACCAATATCCTCAAAGCTGATGCAAGAAAAAACATCACAAAGATTTGTACCCTTTATTTCAGGTATGACAGAAGGAGCCCTGAAAAACCAAGTATGAGTCAAGATGTGATCTCAAATACCTTACAGACTACAAAACCTCATCATGGAACATTTCAATGCTGTAAAGATGTGACAGATATAATAAAGTGGAAGTGGAATAAAGCGAGCATTTCTAACATTACACACTTACTTGCCAGCCTGGATTCCCTCCCATGTAGAGGACAGCTTGATGAGCACACGGTCCTTGCTGATGCCTGCCTCTTTGTAGAGATCGATGAGCTTCAGGGCCTTAGCAACCATTTCATCTTTATCGAAAGAAAGCCTGTCATTTGGAGAGAAACAAACAACCATACAGCGTTTCAATGTTTAGGAAAAAAAATGTATAAACATTTACAAATTGTGTTTATTCCAGATACTTTTAAACAGTTATTGAGTAGGACTTCACTTCCTGTTTTTTATTTACATTTCATCACTGGTCTAGTATGAGGTTTATCATCATCGACAGGATTATTTTTGCATCCGTGTGGTGCAAGAAACCACAGAAATATTAGACAGACAAACCAGTAATGATAGTGTAAGATTCCCCATGGCTGTTACAGTATGACAAAAAACAGCAAGAAGCACCTTTCAGTATTGCTAACACAACAACAGTGTTGCAGACGGACGTCGACACAAACACTTGAAGGAATCTTGGTGCTCATGTGTTACTTTTAATGACAGCTGTCCTTTTCTATCGGAAAGGTATCTTAAATGACTTCTTTACCTGATTTCCGACTCTATCCACTATCCTATCTCTACAATAAAGGCACAACAAGCCAAAAAATAAATCTAAAATAAATGTATTAACTTGACCTTCAAGGGGGGGTGGGCCGCCCCCCTAACATAATGGTAGGGGAAACACTACCCAGTGTTTCCCACACACAGACTTTATTTCAATGATCCTACCGTGTATATTCATGGCCGACTAAGAATGTTTGACGAATTGTGATTTTCCTTTTTTATTTTTTAATCTGTAATCATTTATACTCATCGACAACAAGCCTCCTCCAACATTGCTCCCCTTCTGTTGTTAAAACAGCCATGTGTGTGAAATACAATCTAAATGAGAGTTGAGTTTAAAGAGCAGCTACAGGGCATCATGTTTTTCATGCCAGGTTTATAACATACTGAATAACTGAGTCTCTGAAAACCAGTTGTTGGTTTTACAGCTACGAGTCTCGCCTCGTGAGTGACACTGAACGTTAAGTTTCTGCATGTGCACGTGTTGTTTTGAGATGTTCCAGACAGTGAGCATTAAAGGGACACGTTTCCTCTCGTAATTTGCACCTACCTGGCGTCACCTCAGTAGAGACTCTGCCTGGGACCTTCTTCAGGATCTCGAGACCGAAACTCACAAACAGCTTGTCCATGGTGTTGTCTACCTGCTCCTCCTCAGTTCTGAGCAGCGAAAGAAAGAAAACATTAAGAATCCAGCTCAGTTAATGCCAGAAAAACACAAGAATATCAATCTTTATGAAAAATAATGTCATCTAGTTGTTTTGTGTTCTAGACTTTAAGTTAGATGCTGCAGTTTCCCACCAACAAACAACTTGAAATTTGAATGATCAGCAGGTGTTAACATTGTCTAACTAAAGGGAAGTTTGATAGTTTTGTTAATCAAACTCGTCACTAACTCGTTGATTTTTCAAAACGGGAGAATGGAGACCACCTCTGTGTGCATTTGTTTTGCAAATTAAGAAACTTTGTCAACACCTGTACAGAGAAATCATGTGCTTGTGCAACATCTTTCACTCAAGTTCCCTTTCTTGAGATACACTTCTACTTCAGTTCTGTTTACATGAAGGAATGGCCTCTGATCTGACAACTGCCAAAACAAAAGGTCTTTGGTTTAGCTCTCTTATCTCTTACCCTCCTTTGGCGATGCCGTATTTGATGGCCTGATCCACCTGGAGCTGGTAGGCAGGCATCTTGGCAGCAGCCAGGATGAGAGATGGGTTTGTGGTGGCATCCTGAGGCTTATACTCATCGATGGCTAAAAGACAGACACAGCAGACAGAGTGAATCATTTCACTTAACAGTTTCTCAGATGTAACTCTCATGATTTCAAATACCTCATGAATATATGAAACAACATCCACAGGCCCAGGGTACGAGAGAGGTAGACGTCTTTATCATTTAAAACTGAAATATAAACATACTATTTCTTTAAGTCCTCTGACTAATATTAACCACTAACTGGTTAATTAAATCATTTTTTCTCTGAGGTGTAGGGGGGTTGGAGAATGAGCATAATTACCACAAAATGATCATGACATATCGAAAAATTCAACTTTAAATAACAAACACTCTTGAGTTCACTTCAAAAGCTCTTTTTTTGTATGTTGAATCATTTTATTTTTCAGATCAGTAAGAACTCAAACAAATAAAGAGTTATTTGACTTTTCACTTAACAAAAAAAAGACGAGGATCGAGGACAAAAGAGGCATCAAAGATTTTCAATGTACCAGTAAAACAACATGACTCTCACTCTTTGACTGTTTAAATGAAGTTTCGTTATTAACCGTCACAAATATGACAGCTGAACCATTTTAACCTCTAGATTATCACCTGCAGGCCACATCCGGCCCCCAAAGCTCCCTATCTGGCCCACCAGAATACAAATGATCTCAGGTGATTAAACCATAAACACAAAAGGTAAATCGCAGGGCTGAAATACTCGCATTGGGTT